TTTACATTCACATATTTGTTGTGTGATGTTCCCCAGACAGACTTCATCTATAATTACCCAGCCTAACATCATCTTCTGGGCAGAGGGTGTACCCGGAGGACCTGTTACTTGGTCTAATACATGGGGAGCTTTCAGGAAGATATTTAACAATCAATAATTGAATCTAAACCTGGTCATCAAGGGTGAAAATTCTGAACCAATGTCTTTCAGATGTGGATGAAGTTGAGCAATGTTGGAAGTCGGAATCTGTTTTATTATTAGGAAGTTCATCTGTAGACTACCATCACAGCTTGCATACTTAGTCCGCCAGCTTTCCTTCCTGGCATCAGTGAACGGCCAGATCAGCTAGTTATGTATTCCTCTGCTAGAGAGCAAACATCAAAGAAATCTAAAAGGTCTCCTGTAGCTAAGATTTGTTGCTTGATCATCTTATGACGGATGACTTCATATACTTCCTCGGGTTACTCTCATGAAAAACGTAACTGGCAAAATTTTAGCGCGACTGTCTAGGGTATTCCTCACATACGCCAGTACTCTTGTTGGTCACATCTAAAGCTTGTTCACGTGCTGACTCTTTAACACACTTGCTCGGCTTCTCTGCCATGAGCCTTAGTACTGTTCAGGAACAGACTGAAATTTCTTCAAATGCATAGCAGTGCAATGGTATTTACTTCCACAGTCTTACAGGTTATGTCCTCTGGACAATCTCTCTTAAGTGGTTCTTCGAGATGCAACACTTAAAACATATTCTATTTTCTTTCAGAAGTTTCTTTGCATTCTTCTAAGACTTTGACTTAAAGCTTTTACATTGCATGTAGAGAATGGTTGGTCCCATGTATTATACATTTAAGGGCTTCTTCATCAGGCACTTCTTTGTAGTTATTTTAAATTTATCTAGCTTTGAATTCTGTCTATATGAGACTTATTCTGGCTCAAAATTAAATCCTGGATCATTAGAGATTTGTACAATGTCAGAAATAAAGTATACGAAATAAAGATATTTGGATTTTGTTTAAGCGACTGCACTTCGCAAAGATCATGCAGATCATATAGTTTCTTGTATCTCTGAACGTAACCTCAAGAAACTTTTTTCCAATTTCTTCTTGACAGATGCTTCAATAATAGGACTACCCTATCTATTTTCAAGCCTCTTCCATATTAACTTGATGCACGTGCTTGGATCATGTATATTGGAAATCCTTATACTCAGGACCTAGCCACCGGAGTAAAAGGTAAAAGTAGTTTTCCAAGGTAGATGAGACACGGGGTGATCATGAAGTGCACTGAAAGATGCCAGGGAAAATTCCTTCAATAGGAAGGGCGACAACTATCCACACCTGTTACTCACAGGATTAGCTTTGGTATCATCGGCCTGACTATGAAGAGGTTGTCTTACAGGTGTAACTTGTCCAAGAGGCAAGATCTAATTCTGGTACCTTGTTCTGATCTTCCACGCACTGCTTGACATGATATAAAGAATCAGCTGTCTCTTGCTGCAGGAGTTCTCGTGAAAGAACTTTGTGATGTAATTGTACACCAGGCATTCAATGACAAATCACTACTTTTTCACAATCTGTATGAGGCACACAATTCTAATTCTGCTTCAATTTCTGCCTCCTTGCACTGTAACTTTGTTTTTTTTCTTTATTTCTGATTCTTTCATTGCACTTTCAAGCTGAAACTTTGTGGCTTCAGCTTGTACTCTTTTACTTAACATAGCTGAGCACTTTCTACCACTGACTTAGCACTTCATTCCTTCGAGCACTCAGCCCTAACTTCTTCGACACCATTCTTATCAAGATCTAACTCTTCTATTATATCACGTATGATCACATTTCTTGTTTTGTACTTCACATAATCGTTTTTGCTTCTTTTCCGTATGTGTTCTACTCAAATACCCTAAAAACTGAATTACATACATTGAACAAGAATCTAAATTCTTTTCAAGAGCTTTCTTATATCTACTATCACTTTCTGCGGCTTCACCGCCCTTATAATGCCTTACCATTTGCTCGTCAACTGTACACTTTACTTGAGAGAGCTGAACCAATTATTTGGTGGTTGTTGAACTGTACAGGGTTCTTGTTCTAGCTCCAGACGGTCGTGTTTCCTCTGGGGTTTTCTTCTCCGCTTCCATTTTAGTGTTAACATCTGTGTTGCTTGTAGTCGACAGGCTGAGTGACTCCTTTGAATTTATTCAGCAAAATGCTATAACTCTACATGTATAACTCTTCACTAAACAGAAGGCTGACACTTTTCAATCAGCTGGTACCTAGGATACTCATCACACCCAGCTTGCTTAGAAGATGGCTGGCTACTCTTGTCCTGCTTCAAGTAAAACACTTGCAGTCAGTTAAACTTTTATTGTCAAGTTCACAACGTGGTAGGTATAAGCAGTGCATCCAAACTTGCTAGATGACACACACACACACACACACACATACAGGCACAAGCAAGTACAGAGTGAAATGCTGCAAGAATAAATCCTCACAAATTTGGAAATATTAAGTTGTACGCAAATAAAGTAG